AATAACAAAGTATCACACAATCAATTTCAAATAGGATACTATCAAATTTTGCTATTTCTAGATCTGTTAATTGAACTACTTTTGTTCAGATCTTATTTTAGATTCACTCATAATTCCTAATTTATAAACCTCACAAAAATTCTGCTGTAAAAATTTGTATCTTCTATTGATTGTCTTATATAAATCACATTGACTTTTTATAATAGTTGTTAATAATTCATTTCAATAATATGATATTGCTATAAATTTTAGTATTTATTCTGTACATTTCTTTATAGATGAATTAGAACAAGCAAGAAATCGTGCATTGGAAGTTCGAGAGAAAGCATTACAAAATTTAAGAACGGATACAACTGAATTTTAATCAATGTCAGATAATTTGATTTTTTATTCAATATTTACATGTATGTAGTAATAATAAATTTAATGTTATGGAATGTTTTCAGTAATTTAAATTGTAATTTTGTTTTTTTTTATATATTGATAAAGAATTTTTGATTATGGAAATTTTCTTTTTCTTGTGTTTTTTTTTTATTGAATAGATCTACATAATGTAGTATAAATATCGTTGATTTCTAGTCAATTAGCATAGAACAAGAGGCAAAAGTCGTTATTTTCAATGTTTCGTCAGCTACATTTCAACATAGATAAAATGAACATGAAAACTAATCATATAAACAAATAAAACATAAGTTCAGTGAACTATTTACCGAAAATTCACACTAATGTTTACTTATTTACTTGATATATTCATACTGTATGTGTTTGTCAATGCTTTAGTGGATACAGACCTAGTGTAGTCAGTAGACTCATTGTCAGCATTTTCTACAAGACATAATTTTGACTGCGCTGAAAGAAGCATTCTATATCCCGAGCTAGTGTTTTTTTTATAATGAATACCGAGATTTACAGCAAAAAAGCACAGGATAAAATATCTTATGAGAGTTATTGTAATTATATACCTATCAGAGGTCCAAACAGGCCTGTACGGCCTGTCAAGCTTTTCGAGCGAGTACAATAATGATGACAGACTAGAAACCATAGATCCAAAGAGGGTACTAGGTCTATTGCTCAACCCGATCATGACCCGACTGCCATAGGCATCACCCATGGTTTTCCGGCTAGTGAAAGTCAGAGGTTCAAGCAATTTTTGGCCTGTCTGGGCCTGTCACTTTCATTAGTTAGAAAACCATGGGTGATGCCTATGACAGTCGGGTCAGGACCGGGTTGAGAAATAGACCTAGTGTCCTCTTTGGATCTATGGTTTCTAGTCTGTCATCATTATTGTATTCGCTCGAAAAACTTGACAGGCCTAAAAAACGAGGCCTGTTTGGACCTCTGATACCTATGTGTTGTTTCAATCAGAGTATAGTATTCTAGAAATCTCTTATTATTAGTTAAAGACTGCAGTGCCGTTAGAATAAATCTATAATTATATAATTTTTTTTTTCCATGAAAAATCAACTTGAAGCATATATATTGTTTTTAATCTTATCAATTAGTTGATATTTATTTGAATTAAAGTAATTTCTATACGACCAATATATTTCAATGAAGAACTGCTAACGTTGTTCAAATTTGAAGTGTAATCAAAATTATATGACCGTGGATTTATTAAATTTAATAAATTAACAACGGGTGTTCGAAATTTCACTATTGATGAATGTCCTATTGACGACATTCTGTTCATTCTTAAAAATTTACGTTTATATACTTCTGTTTTATTAATAAATATCGATTTCATAGAATTCTTACAAATGATTTGAGCTTGCGTAATTATTAGGAGTATAAAATAACATAACTTTTATAAAAACTGAAAGTATAAGAAAAATATTGACATATCTAAAATTATAAATCAAAATTCAATAGTAATATTTCACCAAATTTTAAATTAAATTAACATTTAAAAACAAAAAAATAAAATATTAGTTTTAATAATATTTCATTAGAAAAATTAACATTGATTTTTGATTAATAGTTATTTCATATTAATATTTTCTTTCTTCATTATTAATATTTAAACAATAATACTTCATTTTCTAAATAATATTTGTCGAAGATTGACTTCCAATAAATTTAATTTTTTTCAGCAAAAAATTTAAAAAATCACTAATATTTTTTATTATATAATCAAAATTTAATCATATCTATCAGACAAATATATATCGAAAGACATTGCTATTTATGCGATATCTTTTTCATTTGTAAGAATTGTTTCATCCCAACTAAACGAATGATATTGAACATATTTTGGATATTTATATTTTTGACTTATTAATATTCGACGCCATACTTCACGCATATTATTCATCGAACCAGGCTAAAACAAAAAAAAAACGTATTTCAAAAGAATTTCTTTTTTTTTGATATTTACAAAATGTCCAAACATAATTGTATAAAAAGCTTTTGAAGACATAAAACGTGAATGTGCTATTTGTTCTGGAATTGTATAAAGTGAACCAAGTTGTGTATAAGTTACATTTGCAGCACTTGCTACTGCTCCAGTTATATAATAATCATCAACCCAAAAAAATGGTACATATAAACTTGCATTATACCTAACAATTATAGACAAAAAAAACATAACGAATAATTTAAAATATTCGAAAGAAAAATAGCTGATTTTATCGACTTTCTTGATTCTAATATCACAGAATCCACTCCTTGAAATCATTTCATTTTGTAGATTAATTAAAGTCGAAATTCTAGATTATCATAAATATTTTAATATCTTCTCAAATTCTTGTTGAAAATAATTTTCTCTATTCAAATCATTGTTTAGATTCTTTATGCGAATTACCCTTGAGGAAAAAGATTAAAATTAAGCTTTTATGATTAATTTTTTTTCAAGTTATTGTATATAATATACTTACATTTTTGCAGCCATATCTCCAGTAAGAATATAAGCTTTAAAAAAACAAAAAACAATTGAATTTTTGATTGAATTATCAATTTTTTACCTGAACCACTACAATATGGTGGAAATAAATCCAATGGAAAATCTTCTTTACTTAAATACCATTTCGATTTACTACAAAAAAAAAAATATAGCAAACATAAAACCAAATATATTTCTAACCTATCTCTCATAACAGTCATAGCTTGCCATAATAAACAAAGTATTGTTTGTTCTCTAACAGGATTAAGTTTATCAAGAAATTTTAAATGATTAATTAATGTAAATGTATTAACAACAATATCATCATCAACTTTTAATATATATTTTACTTTCGAACAATAAATTGATATCCATTTTAATGCCATTATACCTTTATATGTTAAATTTTTATATGCATCAATAAAATCTTCTTGAACAATATCTTGATATATTTCATTTTCATATTGTATTGATTTCATTATATTTTCATCTGATGTTTTACCAATCATAAATATAAGACGTAAATCAGAAAATAATGTTCGTGTTGACCATGTTTCACGTATAACAATACGACGTCGATAATTTGTTGGACCAGAATGAACATAAACAAGAATATAAATAGATGATGAATTATTTGTATTACATACAGAATAACCAGGATTTAATATATAAGAAAAATCATGTGGATTAACAATATGATCTTTTGGTTCATATGGATTTTTAATAGGAATTGTTGTTGTTGTTGTTGTTAATGTATTATTATTCTGACTTATAGATATATCAATATAAATAAATATTAAAATAAATAATAGAATAATTTTTAATTTCATGAAAGTTTCTATCTAGAATATAATAGAATGATTTAGAGGATTCGTTTAGATTTTTTTGATTTTACTTATATTTCAGCATATTAATAGATTGAAATTTGATATATACATGAAATATTATATTTGTCAATGGTCGATAGATATTCCATCTGATCAACTTTATTCACGACTGAAATGTATGAGAATAAACTAAAGACATTTATTTTGCATTATTATTCATTTTAGCAGAATATAAGCGAAAAAAAACAGAATATAAGAGAAAAAGTATGATGGAGGTGCCCGTGTATGTACAGACAAGGTTTACCTTTCGTTCCTTGCTTTCTTATACACACACAAACATACCCATGTTGGATGCGTGTGTGTGTGTGTACTTTTTTTCTTTCATTTTAGTCAATGCTTGTTGTATTTTACTTCTTATAGTAAAATTAAAGAAGAAGAAAAAAAAAGAAACGAGAGAACAGACGACTGTCTCATTCCGTTGGCTCACATTGGCATAGCAATATGCTTTTATAGTTATTGTTTCTGTTACACGTTTTCTTTTTATGACTGCGAGAGGTACACTTTTATGTTGCTGTTTGTCAACTCAATATATTAAAAGACACGAACAAGTTCATTAATGCATTCTTCAATAAAACAGGAAAAAAAAAGAAATTATTGTAGTATTATTAATAGTCGACAAATAATAGCTATAGAAAAAAAGAGAAGTTAAAGAGTATTGTTGGCGTCTAAATTGACATTTCCTAAGACAAAAGGATAATATATACAAGCAAGATAGACCGTACATGGTCAAATTATTCTTTTTCCAAGAATAATATACACATATATCTATAAGGTTTTTCTGGTTTATTCTATTATAGATATAGTTTGATTAAACCACTCGAATGACAATAATCTCTTAGGAGTACAAAAAAATATTTTTTTTTTGGTATACAAAATTTTGTTAAATAGCTCAATTAGATCGATTGTTGCTTACATAATACATATATATATATGTATTAACGCTTTCTTTATAATATACAAATGATCATTCAATTGGGCTCTCTTGGAAACACCAAAAAGCAAACATTAGAATGTATGAAATAATCTAGATATTTGCCGTTCTGTACAGAATAGCTAAAATGTGTCGTTGACAATCGATTAGGTGGATACATAAGCAGCAATAGAAGGAAAAATGAGGACGAGAACGAAGGTCGAATAGAGTTGATGCTGTTGTAATATCGTATCAACAACAAAGATAGAAAGGAAAAACGAGTTATTCCATAATACATTACCGGTTGATTTGTGTTAGCATTAACATGCATCTGGCACTCGTACAAAAAATAATGTATTTATTTTCAAATATTGTTATAGTTATTTTAGTGCATTTAACTATTTCTTCATTACTTACGGGTAAAGCAAAATTTAAAAAAAGAAAACTCTGATTTTCTATATATTTTAATAATTGAATTTTCTATTAGATGCATTTCGTGATAATGCTGAAGAATGTTGTGAAACAGGTCGAATTCAAGCTGAAACTGACAAAACATGTACGTTAAAAACACACTTATTAACATCAAAAAATGATACAAATATAACAAATTATTGTCCTTATTTAACACATATATGTTGTTTATCAAATTTACGTAATTATTATTGTGAAGAAGGTGTAAATACAGCTCTACGTTTATTACCATGTAATGAAACAAAATTACATTTAAAAGATACTTATAAGGTTTTCTATTTGGTTTTTTTTATAAAGATCCTTTTTTTATTAAATATTTGTTGATAGATATGTTGTCGATGTTGCGAATTAGGTGTTCAGGCAGGTCGACATCTTGAAGATTGTGATCCGGTGCCTATACTTGATGAAAGATGTGGTGAACAATTTACAAATTGTTGCAAAAAAGCTAAATCATGTAATCTATGAAATAAATTCAATGAAATATGTAGTTTGATTTTTTCTTCTAGTGAATTGTGATCCTGGTTTTGAAATGGGCGATAATGCTCGTTGTCGTGGTATGTAATAGATAATGTCAAATAAATTAGATTATTTGTATCTTTAATATTTCTCCTCTTTTCTTCATTTTCTTGAAATACTTTTTTTTTTATCAAGAGATAACGCTTAAAATTCTGTACTAAGTAGTATACTTTAGTTAATGTATATAGTTCCCTCCATTTTCATTTTGACTGCATGTTAAATTTGGTCTATCAATATTACTTTTATTGTTATGTTGTTTCAATTAGTATAAATGCAGACAAAAGTGTGTATACCATCATTTCCTGAAGTTATACATGAGAACCTTAAGAACATTTTGCAAACATTCGCTTTACAAAATTAGCTCAATCTTATTAGTCACGATTGACTCTTTAAGTTTCTTTTATGGAAAACAGTCATTAAGGTCTTTATTTTATTCACTTCTGTTCGCACTCTGCAGAGACGATCAAGAGGGTATAACAATTTGATAGAATTAGTGTTATTGCTCATTTCTATCGATAATTTAATAGTTTGTACGTAATGAAACTATTTCAACCAAATTGTGATTGAGCTTTCGTCTGTTCATCGTCATATTCATATTTATTTTTCAAATAAATCTAGAGGCAAATTTTGGTTTGAATCTTAATATGACTTTGCAAAAAATTTTAAGCATCATCTTTTGATAAAACAAATCGATGTCTCAATCGAATCGTGAACGATCAGTTAAATTTATTCTGTCACACTCATAATTTTCAATAGAGATTCAAACATTAATAATAATTATCTTACATTTAGACATCAATGAATGTCTATCAAGTCCTTGTCCAAAAACGATGACATGTGAAAATACACCAGGTTCTTATCAATGTATTGAAGGATGTGAATCTGGTTATACATGGTCACTTAAATATGGAGAATGTCGAGGTATGATTAATTTTCTTTCTATTTATTTTGAATTATATTATTTATTCTTTTTCATATTACTTATGTAGATACTGATGAATGTGCACTTCATACACATAATTGTACTCATGGACAGCGATGTGAAAATATGCCTGGATCATTTCGGTAATAAAAATTTTATGAATGAGTGAATGAATGAATCTATTTACTTATTTATTAATAGATGTATACGTGAAAGAAATTGTGGAACAGGTTATCAAGTTGATCCTCAAACACAAACTTGCACGGGTAAAAAAAACAAAAAGATATTGTTGTTGTTTTGTTTTGTACAATATCTGTTTTTTTTTAGATATTGATGAATGTGAACAAGGCATTGATGAGTGTAGGCAAGTTATTAAAAATGTTTTATTTCTAGAAATTAAATGTTTAACTTCAAAATTTTATTTTATAGACCTGGTTATGTTTGTAAAAATATACCTGGAACGTACAAGTAATTATAATGTTTAAGTTTTTTTTATTTTTTCGAGGCTTTAATTTTTTTTTTTTAAATTTCTCTTAGATGTCAACCACAAAATTGTACAAAAGGTGAAAAATTTAATGCTTTTTTTGGTCGCTGTGAAAAAGTTCAATGTCAACCAGGTTATAATGCAACTTCTTTTGGAAAATGTGCTGGTAAGATTAATTCATATTTGAAATGAATTCACTTCGATTTGAGTTCAAAAATGAGTTTTTTTTTACCATTTCTTATGGAAAAAAGGAGTTGAATGTGCTTGTGTTGAAACTAGTATAGGTCAGACAGACAATGTTACGGAGAGCTTGGAGATGTGTTATTATGTAGAGAATCAGCTGGTCTTTCGTTCCGTTTAGACAAAATGGTTAAGTATTCCACTATAATTCATAGATATATTTAGAATTATGTGCAAAATTTTAAACTTTCAGACTCTGTTCAATATCTGATTTTTACATTTCTTTTTGATCAGGCATCCATTACTATTTAAATGGTGACATACGCAATTTTGACATATGATTTTATATGAATAGAATATTAGTTCAATATATACGGAAAACCGTACCTTTGTGGCATATACGTAGTGACATATAGAAGTGATAGTTCGCAGTAGACTTCATGAATTTAAATCAAGGGAATTAATATTGCCTATACAGATGGTCTTTCAGCTGTTGTTTACGCTGAAGCAATTAATATTGTTTGAGTGATAATTGAAGATAGTTCTCACTGGATGGCAGAATTAATTATTAGAACCTAGTAGCCAGAAATTATCTATTAATTGTTGCCTAATGCAAGATTTCAAAATGCCCTAGAACAGAAATACAAGGTCAGTTTTTACTATTGAAAACACAAGATCATGGACATATTGAACAATACATAATCATAAAAAAGTTTATACTGATCAAGTATATTCCACAAATCTAAAGCTATGTGACTGTTTTCTGCTGCCAAAACTGAAATATCAACTGCAAAAAAAAAAAAGAAAACTAAGACTCAATGACAGCGATCCTATGTTACACATGCTTTAAGTAGCTATGCTCAAAAAACAAAAAGATCTCAAACTCTATCTACATGATTTATTTTAATCGAATGCATCATACACTATTGATGAGAGGATAGCATTTTGAAAAATAGCACTAAAACTAACTTTCAAATATTTCTTCAAAAGGTTGGCAAAAAAAAACAAACAAACTTTTATCGTGCTCTCTTGTATATCTGTCTATTTGATAATATTGTTTTCTTATCTATTAGATATTAATGAATGTGCACAAATACCAAGTCCATGTCAACCAACTGAAAGATGTGATAATACACCGGGTTCATATAGATGTGTTCAAACATTTCGTTGTGCAAGTGGACTTGAAATGAAAGATCTTAAATGTTTAGGTAATTAGAAAAAAAAAGAAAAAATATTTTCTTTTTATTATATAAACTTTTAATTTTCTAGATATTGATGAATGTGTTATTGGCAATCATACTTGTCCTGAACCGGCAACTTGTAAGAATACATATGGATCATTTTATGTAAGTTCTTCTATAAGAAATCTAAATATTTATACTAATAATGAAGATGTATAACAATCGAAAAAAAGTGATATTCATCACTCCTTAAAAAGAGAAAAATTTGATCGAAATGAATTCTATTTTGTAAATTGTTTATTTCCTCAAATTTAACAGATATCGATGTATTTGAAAATATGAGAAACAATTATTCTGTCCTTCAGAGATGTTTCTTTTTCTCCTACGATCGACTCTCTATCTTAACTTGTATTACTTTTCATATTAATATCTTTCTAGTGTGAATGTCCACTTGGATTTGTATTTAAATATGGTGTTTGTGTTGGTATGTATATCATTTTGAAATTACTAATCAATATTAATATATTTTATATTAGATGATGATGAATGTGCACGAGGTAATGTCGTTTGTCCATCGAATGCATATTGTCGTAATACACCTGGATCATATGCTGTAAGTTTATTGAAATTATTTTAATAAAAAGAAAAATCAATAAATATTTTTAGTGCGAATGTATTGCTGGATATAAAATGATAGCTGAACGTGCATTTTGTGAAGGTAATTAAATATCATAAAAAAAAGATTATTCATAATAATAATTTCATCTTTAAGATGTTGATGAATGTGAAACATCATCGGATACATGTGAACATAAATGTGTTAATGTTCAAGGATCATATTATGTAAATAAATTTTTATTTTTTGTGAAAAAAAAAAACAAGAAACTAATTAAAATTATTTTATTATTTAGTGTTTATGTAAAGAAGGTTATCGATTAAATGGTGATAGACGAACATGTCGAGGTTAGTATAATTTCTTTGTTGTTGTTTTTTTTTGAAATTCTATTCGATTATATAGATCTTGATGAATGTTCAATGATTCCAAATTTATGTCAATATCATTGTGTTAATACACCAGGTTCATATAAATGTATATGTCCATCAGGTTTTACACTTGAACGAAGTCGTCAATGTCAAGATATTGATGAATGTACTATTGGTACTCATAATTGTCGTTCTGATGAATATTGTGTTAATCTTCTTGGTGGAGTTCGTTGTTATTCTGTTAAATGTCCTGAAGGTTATGATAAAATGGGAACTAAGTATATTGATTTACAAATATTTTAATATATCGATCAAATTCATTCTCTTTTATTTTAGTCGATGTCAATTATCTGCACGTTGGTGTCAACAACATCAATATGATAAAGATTTACGTTGTACAATTCGAAAACCAGTTAAATATGTTTATTCATTCATTTCACTTCCTGGTATGTAAATTAAAAAAAAAAACAAAATGAAATTTTTTGATATTTATCTTTTTTTTTTCTTCAAGCAAAAATGCGTACACCAATGGAAATTTTTCGTATACGTAATAGTCAATTACAAACAAATCAATATGCGGAATTTGATTTACGTTTAATGGATGCATTTGATCCATATACAAAATTAGCTACAACAACACTTGATCATTTTCAATTAAAAAATTATCCACCACATAATGCTAATTTAATTGTTGTTAGAGAATTAAGTGCATTTCAAGAAATTGAATTAAATATTGAAATGAAAATTTATACAAATAATATTTTAAGTTCAATATCAATTATGAAAATATTAATTTATGTTAGTCAATATGACTTTTATCCTTAGATAATTATCCTTTTATGACTTATTTCTTATTTGTTTTGTATTGTTAAAATAAGAAAGAATGCGTTTATTTTTGTTTTTGATGAATAAGATAACACACACACACACGCGCGCGCATACAAGATCTCTATTCAAAAGGAAAAAAAAGAATCATGTTAATATGCTGATTGAGTTTGAAATTTCCAAAGAATAGGAGCTTTGTATGCAGCAAAACTACCCGTAGATAATTCGCATAAAAGTTCATATTCACGTCCATATGGTGATCTAGAATTTAATAAGAAAATAAATAAAAAATTAAATATAATCTTTTGTTTATATATATATATACTTATTGGAATGTTCTGAATTAACCGATAAACATTTATTTGTTGATGCATGAGCAAGAACAATTTTATCATCAATCTATAGATATAAAAATATGTATTTTCATATATATTATTACAAAATTAATAAAAATACTTTCACTTCTGATCCATCAAATTCTAATCTTAAATTAATATTTGGATGCATAACAATCCATATACTATTTCGATTTTTATTATTTGTAAAAATAACATCACATGTTCGTGCTGCACGTGTTGAACTTTTTACACATGATAAAAATAACTAAATATTTTATTAATAAATAGATAATTATAATTGTCAAAAATAAAAATAAAAAATACTTGTCCATTTGAATCTGTTATAAGAATTTCATCACCATATTTAATTGGTTCAGAATTCACTGAAAGATTTGGTCTATTAAATAGAAGAATAATAATTTTCATTAAATTCTTTTTTTTTTGTATTTTCAAAAAAAAAAGAAATTTTTGTTTTTTTTTACTTTTGAATAATAAAAGTTGAACGAAGTGTTGGACGTATTAATGTTGTTCCTGTAGCTGTTACTTCAGGTGCACTATCATGTGAACCTGATAAATATGGAATACCAGTTGCTAAACAACAACTTAATTGTGATTTTTCTCCTGTATGATGAGCTGCATAAGTAAATGTATTAACAAGAATAATTTGATGACCAAAACGAAGTAAACCATCACTTGCCGATATACTTAATGGAACTGTTTGAGACATACGTTCAACTTCACTTATTTTTTGTGATGCTAATTGACCAGTATAACGTTTATCAAGAAAATCTTTTAATACTTCCTAATCATTTAAAGTAATATGAAAATAAATAATCGATTAGTTAAAATAAAAAAAAAAGAAAAGTTTTTTTCATACTTCTTCCATAACTCGATCTTCATACCAATTTCCAACAAGTACATGAGCATTATAAGGTCGAACATTAGCACGACTGTTCATCATTTTTAGAATTTTCAATAATAAAAAATAATTTGTAACCACAACACAATATTTTTTTTTCTTTTTCTTCTTCTTTTTTTCGTATAAATGTTGCTATGTATCCATTATGTTGTTAAGTACAAGTAAGAAGCAAAGTATTTTCTTTACTTCTACTTGTGGCATCTATTGAAAGATAAGAGGAACAAATCAAAGAATTATAAATTAATACCATTGATTTAAGTTTGTAAACCTATGAGATTAAAAATTTTACAAAAAAAAATTTTTGTTTTTTTGCGAATTTTGAATTGATACGATACAGTTAATCAACTATTATCTTCTTATAAAAAATATACATCGATAAAAAAAATGATTGTATATATATATATACATATGAGTGTTTATCCTTAAATGCTAAGAAAAAAAAATCATGTTATTTAGATTTTCATGAGATTATTTTTACAGTTCTTTGTATATGTAAACAACTACAGATGGAAAATTTAAGACATATGGGAAACAAGACATAGTTATTCAAAAAAGAAAGAAAAAATTATTTATGCAATGTTGAATATTATGTAAAATATGTATCATAAAAATGAAAAACATTATTGATTATTTATTGATTTTTCTATCACATACTAAATAATCATTATATATTATTGATTAACTTCTTGACAATTGCATTCGGTTAACATAACATCAATAGAAGTAAATTTCTTAAAATATATTATGAATATTATTTTCATGTTATTCGATTTATTTCATATATTTAAAGACAAATCAAACATAATTATTCTTAAATTTTACTTAAGATTTATTTAGCTAAAATCAAAATCATCAAAAATTATTTTTTTTTACAATCATAAAAACTCTAATGTAAATTTATTTTATAATTCGTAGACAAGTAATATTTTTTCTTTGCAAGACAAATTGAACATTTATCTATTGATTAATATAAAATTAATTAAAATATAAATCATTAATCACTTTGGAGAAACATAAGAATAAAGATCGTGTTAAAATAGTCCGAATTTGAGTTTGTTTTTCATTTTCTCGGTTCATACAGTAAATACTTCCGGTTTTTTGCCGTTTAGATAGAGGAAAATTAAATTTCTTGTTATAAAGCTGATCGAATCTGAAGATCAAAGAAAGATTATTCGATTTATTCCGACATGAAGTATATACTAATATATATACATATTTTTAAAAATAGTATCCAAGTTTATCTAATTATTTTTTTTGCTGTTCAAAAGACAAAAAAAGTTGTCGACAGAATTTTTTGTTTTCATATTCCTAATTTTGTCGGATATATAAAAGATGTATAAAGCTATGTCGAATAAAATAGATCATTATTATTCTTATATCATTTGAAAACTTGACTCAAAAACTATATAGTCATTTGAACTGAGCATAAAATGAATCTTGTCTGACTATTAATGCACTTATAGTTTACCTAAGGAAAGAATGCGTATAAATACAATTACGTTGAAATATTGAATAAATATTACTAAAATCACTTTCGAGAAGTTTTCCGATGAATAATTTTTTTTTTTTTTTTATTTTGCTAATCAATATTTGAAGTGTAAAGAGTAAATAAAACTGTTTCTCGAAAAAGAAACTATGTTTTTTTTTTTCTTTTAGCTAGCTGTTTTGTTGTTGTGAATGCCCTGAGGATATGAGATCATTATCCTAGAACTTGAATACTTTTAGTTTCAGAAAAAGAATCACTTTCAACAAGTATTTGCTTCTCTATTGTCTTGTGATTTCTACCATATCTATTATAGTTATATGAATAGGAACTAAATCTTTATTGCCTTAACAATAGAAAAGTTTCTGGAAAATAATAAATAAACAAATGACTTTATTAACACGTACTACCATACTAATTTGCATGCAAAAAAAAAGATTATCGGAAATTTCTACATTTTATTGTATATCATCTCTAATTCAAATTTTTGTATTCATATGCTATTACTAGTGTTATATGCCCATTTCTTAGAAAAAACATTATCTCGTCAAGAATCAATCCAAATAATATTATCTTTTACTCGATTATAATCTGATTTTATACATGAATAATAATCTTTTGAAATGATTTATTTTTTTTTTGTAGAAAAGTATGAATACGGAATAATAAAAAAATATGATAAAAATTTTTCGCTAGATTGATATATTCCTTGAAGTTTTTGTATTTACGAACTGCGCTCCGAGCTATATTATTCAACAGGTACTTTGTGAAATAAAATATATTGGTCGAAATCAGCTTTCAGATACTAGACATAATGTGTTTTATAGATATATTTTTTAATTCTTTTATGAAATTATCATAGTAATAAAATGAGCAATTATTGAATGTATGAACAATAATATATTCAATGATGATTGAATATCTTTTGACAAAATCATGTCTGTTATAATAAGTTTAATAGTTCCACAAATAAGATTGATAAGGTAGAATTGAAATTGTTGAATTTTGACAATATTAACTAAGAAGAGAATTCTTTTTTTTTTTCTAATGAATAAATCTGATTTTCGTTTAAATCAAGATTGATGATTTTAAATATTTCTTATAAACTAATTGATATATATCTAATAAATTCTTAAACATACTATAATATAAAAACTTGAACTATTTAACAAGTATTCATATTGTTTTTTTCACAATGAATTATTAGAACACTCTATATATGTTATTTTCTAGGTAATACAATAATAGATATAATCGAATTAAGAGTCAAACAAGGTCAATTGTATGTTCACTTCATACAAGTATGTAGTTTGTGAGTAGAACTTTCAGATGATATAAAAATAATGATGATCTATTTTAAGCGAGATAGAATCTACAAGTTAACACTATGTACAAATTTCAATTTGGTTTGACTCTCTCGCTATTGTCATACTTTTCTAAAGTGATTATTCAATTATATTTTGACTAATTTTATAACAGTTGAAAGGAAAAAAACTACTTCTCTGGAATGTATATAACTCGAAACAACAGCGAAATACTAAAACTACTTTTTTTTTAAATATAATTAGAACGTCTCGTTCTACATCTGGTTATTTTTGTTTTCTTAAATTAAATATCATTATGAAACAAATAACCTTTAGCTCAATAACATTTGACCCGTCTATTTTCTCACTAGAAATTAAAATTTATTAATACCAAAAAACAACAAAGTCTATAGACTAGTCAATTCATCAATGTCTAAAACATACTTTAGAACAACAAAAAAAAAAAAAAGAAAGACGACATTATTTATTACAATTAGCATTTAGTTGGTGCGTTAGTAGAATTCAACATCATTGACAAACGGAATAAAAACAATCTCGATATACATGCTTTAGCATTTATGTCTTTGAATGATTAATAGAATGATAATGAATTGAATAATCTAAGTAGAACGATGACATATTCTCAATACACTAGCTAAGTCAATTAGACCGATGGCTAAAGTAAATGTATTCAAGTATCGTCATGTTATTTTTCTCTTCTTGAACGATTTTTTTTTCAGTAAAGAGCGATCTAAAAAAATCAAGAGTTGCATATTCTCCGCCTACCAAAAAAAAAAAAAAAGAAGTTTTTCTCCTACGATCGATATATTAATAACTATCGATAGTTCTATTAGACTAATATTGCTTTTTAGAGTTTGAACATGTTTTTGCTTTTTTGTTGTTGTCATCAAAGAATATTTTTCGACTCATGTAGAATAAGATCTTTTCCGTTTTCT